CGTGGACACGTGTAGCTGATACAATTTGTGGGGATTGATAGAAAAAAATGGAATACGTTCGAAAACATTTTAAATTCAGATGTAACTGGTTCATAATCTGGTTATTTTCGGCTGTTGCCAATTGTTTCAACCCTTACTCATTGTTTTTTGTGTACATTTTTGTTCTCCAGCCTGATGATGCTCCTAATAAGAGCGAAACGTCGCATAATAAACGAATAATCATTTTCGAAAACGGCTTCAGCCCAACACATCAGTTTTGTATTTATTCAGATGGAATGAAAAAACAACGGTTATACGCAATAGGCTATACGTGTGCACCAAAGGAATTTAGAATGATGTTCGAGTGTTGTAATGAGTAATAATGTGATGTGTATGTGTCAGCATCAAGCTTTATTCTAATTTGCATTGCTCATTAATAATTGTAAATAGCGGGTGTCGCATGCGCATCATGAGACCCGGTTAGCATGCGACACTGGACTCATTGGAGAAATAATGAGTAGCCATGTAGCAAAATTATAATAATAATGACGATCCGTCTGCACCATACACGCGACAACTTGAAATGGCTGTTTTATCTTATCCGTTTTTTTATTATATATAAATTGCTAATATTTACGTATTGCATCGATAGAGCGAGTGCAGTTTGAATTGGATTGGGAACCGTGGCATACATGCCAAGTGGGAACACAATATACCAACACAATTTTTTTTGACGTCGTTCTAGTAACAGAGAATGAAACTGATATTTAGATAAGATTTGTAGCTACTCGATTCGAACGAGTCTGAAATATCAAATCAATTCGATCTACAAGTATTCGTATATCGCACTGCATTTCATGCAATTTAATCGTGCTTTATTTTAACGAAAAGCAGCGAAAGTTCATCAAAAACTATTTCTAATAGTAACGCGTAACAAACAATAAATTGCGTCACTATTTTCATCTGAACACGTAAAAACATTTGTTTGCATAAAACAGAACAAAAGAAAAAAGGCAAATTCACTTATTGTTGTACAATATATATTTAAACAGGTGTTTTTATTGAGTGAATGCACATATTGAATGCTCCAACGGTGTTCATCATAAGCACAGTGCAAAATTTTCATTCAAAAAGCAAGCACATTTGTTTTAGTATTTGTTGCAATAAAGGTAAAAGCAATAAAGTGTTCTTCGACTAAATCTAGTGTTTTATTTACACCAAGTGTAACCAACAATTCCAAGCCAAGTTTTGCAGATAGATACTACAGCATCGAAGTAATCATTGTATATCTAGTAACATTAATTATTGATTGAACAAATACTTACTTTTGGATGAAGAAAAAAGTGTTCGCAAAAGTTAGTGAATCCATTTTAATTTGTGGGAATCCCAAGACAAATACTTGAAATCATTAAAAAGGCTTCGACCTCATGAACGTTAGACTTGATACGCGCCCAATTTGAGTCCAGAGTGAATCCACTCGTTTTGAAATTTGGAATTCGATCTTTTTTCTATTAGACCAAGAGCCCACCGTACAAACAACTTTTTTTCTTGTGCACTGCAGAAATTCATAAAATTAACATCTTCCCACAATACTCTAACACAAATGTACCACTTGTTTCAATGAAATTGGGCGGATCGCTTTATTCACGGCTTTATTCGAGCTGCGCGAAAAAGTATACTTTTTTCGCACCAGTATCGCGGAAACTTGTATTAAATCTTCATTCGGATCTAACTAACTTAAAAATAAAATATCTGCACCGAAAAGTGAGCGGTTTGCGTGTCGGTATCAACAGTTCGATAACATTTTGGATATTCATGGAAACCGTCCGTTTCGACAATTACTCGGCGCTGCGGGATTGGGCCTGGGGAAATAAGTCCTGTCTCCCAAACGCTGGCCGGGCGAGAAATTGGTCGCGACGTGCCAAATTCTGCGGTGCAACTTTCAGAATCAATTTCGAAATTGGAGTTTTTCCATTTTCGAATTCATCTTCCTTGTTGAACGACACTCGGTAAATGATGCCGATAAAATTATTTTCACCAGCCTTTGATGCTGAACTCACAACAATTTTCTAATTTTTCGATTTTAATTTTGCTTCAATCGTTTCGCAAAGCGTCGTTCGGATCACCTCACTCGGAATATCAGACAATTCTAATGCGATCATATTTTGTTTCAAACAGCGATACAACGAATGTTTTTGATTCAAATGTTGAATGAAATTTTTTCAGCACTTGGACCAGTTTATTTTTGGATCGGCACGTGTGTCTACGATTTAGAAGGAGAAATCTAATTCAGCGCGATGATTAACGTTCAGTGAAGAAGAGGAAGAAGAAAAAAATGGGACACAATAAACACGAAACAGTTATTATTGGCAAATCCGAAAGCGAAAATTTAGATTCGGCACGTTGATTTTGTAGTAAAAATTTTAAACTCAACACAAAAATATCAAACGTTCAGCATCTTCACAAATTTTACGTGTGAACGATTCGAATGCTATCGTGTCACTGAACGGAACCTGATTGAATAGAATTTATTTTATCTTACGATCAAACTGGGTGAATGGACTTCGCAAGTGCATTTTAGATAAAATTGTTTGCCCCAATGACGATTTTAGATGTATAAAAAAAAGATCGCCAGCAACTGAAAGATAAGGCAACATCAATTTTGATCTGATAAAACTATTTGCTTGCAATCCAAACGTTTTGCAAATGCCATTTAACTCTCAAAGCCTCAGTTGAAAAAGAGTGGAGAATCTGCCGGTCAAACGAATGACCATGAGAAAATTTAAGTTCGCTTTTGCAAATTGTAGGAATAAATTGGACTACGCAATGCGGAAATGTTGAATATTTGTATTTGTACACATGCCGAGTAAATTGATTCAAATTTTTCGTTTTAGATTCATTCACTTGTGAATCCCGCAATTTTGTAAAATAATTTACAGAATAAAAACAGCGTATTGATTTGGTCGCTGAACAAAGCGAAACACATTTTAATACATTGAATTGTTGTATTCCTGGATCAAATAAAAAAACTTCTTTCGAAGTAATTCCTCGTGACGAAAGCGAACACGAAACAGCTGATATCAATTTTAAAAAATCATTACGGTGCGATTCTGAAATTAGTTGAAAGAATGCAAAAAAAGCAATTCTAAATCGCTCCGAAATGATTTTTTTTTAAATTGATATCAGCTGTTTCGTGTTCGCTTTCGTCACGAGCAATTACTTCGAAAGAAGTTTTTTTATTTGATATCAGTTGTTTTGTACCCGAAATTTTTTTTTTCAACAAAACCAACCAACACCAAACAAACACAAAGTGGTGTGTATTGAGGCAAAGAAAATGAAACATGAAATGTTGTAGTTAGAAACCAGCATTGTCGCCTTTTTGAATAAAGCAAAATCAGCGCGTAGGTAGGAAAGCAGACTTATGAGCGTGTGGACTCGAGTTCGAGTCGCACACCGGAGGGAAAAAAAATTAAATTTTTTTTTTCGTTAAATAAAATTTGGTTTCTGGATAGACAGATGAAATTACATTTTGTTTTGATGTAATTACATATCGCTTTTATACTAAGAATCTATCACATATTTAGTTTTTTCATGATGAATTTTTTTGATTTTGATTTTGATTTTTTCATGAAAAGTACTTTTTTGTGTTTTCTGTTGATTGCGTGGAATAAAAAGAGTTGGTGAGGGCTTGGTATCTGAAGGAATTTTATTCATCTGAACGCAAAAACACTTTGGTTATGATTTTGCCTTTGTTAACGGCAACAAAAAAGAGTTTTAGTTGATTTTTGTCGATTTTTCATGTTTTTTCCAACTTCTAATGGCTATATCTCGAAAAACAGTTGGGGTAAAATTCCAGATTCATGCAAAGCCAGGTGACTATTTTTTTGGGTTTCTGCCCATAAGACTATGCCAACTCAATTTTTTCAAATTAAAATAGATGTCATTTGATAGCTGGCCTCAAGACCTTTCCAACGATACCCAAAAGTTTGAAATCGGTTTACTGAGTTAGGCACAGTGATCATTGGAAAGAAGGCCATATTTTGAATTTTCGAAGGCCGGCCAAGGCCAAGATGGCGGAACAAATCAAAAAATTCCGGAACCAAAAAGTCTTAGTTTTTGTTATACTTCAATGCCTGAAAGTTTAAAAAAGATCGGGCAAAAACTACGGACAGACGGACGGACAGAAAAAATATTATCTCAGAATAATTGGTGGAGACGCCAAAGAAATTTTTGAAATCGTCATATCTCATGAACGGTAGGTCCAATTTCGACGTTCTTGGACTTGTTGGAAAGGTCTCGACGAGTAGACTCAGAAAAAACATGTTTCAAGATGAACGGGCCGCGTTCAACACCCGGTAAATGGGAAAAACTGATAATTGTACATAATTTTCAAGTGGCTATTTCTATGGAGGTGGTTGGTCGATTCCCAAGTTTGAATGCATTTTCTGGGCCTATGAGCCAGGGAATTTCTAGCGATACTTCATTCATACCAGATGGCCTCTTAGGAAAAAAGTTCGAAATTGCGTGTATATATAGGCGAGTTCGACTTTCAGCACAGAGGTGCTTTCGTCACTCGCGCCTGCTGTCGCCGGCTGTGATGGAATTTTCATATGAAAACTTGTGCATTGATGTAGTTTTGAATCATTTATTGAATTAAGATAATAACTATCAAAATTTTATAAATAACCTAATCGCACCATATCAGCAACAACACCTTGCAAGCGTTTGTGAAGCTTGTCACGAGAATTTTTTGAACGGAATCCACCAAATATATCAGCATCATTATTTTCATTGGCAGAAAATTCATCCAAATTGATAGCATTTGATTTCTCTGCCGTCATCAATTGAAGCATCAACATGGCCAAGACGAGGCTGTACTTTGTGAATTTACAAAAATGTTCTTGTATTGTTTTTCTTGAGAAGAGCTGCTCGGGATCAGATCCTAGTCTGTAATTTATTTGTCAAAATTAAAAACTGAGTAAAATTGAGTTTGAATCGGAGCACAAAAAATGATGGTATACCTGCGGATGTGTGCGGATAAACTATAGTAATAAACTTTCAAGAAGTTGTCATAATGGGCATCACGCAGCTCTTTTGTAAAAAACATAAAGTGAGTGGTATCGATGATTTACGATGGCGATGCGAGGCGATTCAGTGTGACAGTTGGTATGAGCGAGACAAAGTTCGACAGCAAACAATTTGGTTGTGTCAGTTTAAATGTTCTTTGAAATTAATGAAGAATGTGTAGCGTATAACACTAAATGCACCCTATGTAAGCGATGCCTGATACAATCAAACCTATTGCTTTGGTGTGAAAGTTCGGTTTGTGTTGTGAATCGGGTATATAGTGAGTGGAATGTATACAATTTTGGTATAAATTTATTGCAATCATCTGAATGATTATAATACTTACACATGTTTATAAATTTAAATAAATGATTTCAGAGCGCAATAAATCAGAATGATCATATAGCATGTCTATAATCTTAAATGGTTGTTTATATTCACTGTATGTTTTACAGTTTATAAAGTTAACACAAGAAACATGCGTGTGAAATGAGTTGCTTCGAATAATCAAACTACATTTATTTCTCTGTGTGTACATAGTCATTATGGATAGCCCAATAAGTTTGATGCTATATGTTGTAAAGTTTATTGGCCGCACAAGGTAAGATTGCCTAAGCAACTATTCTGGCGTAAAACATATCTTAAACCATCCAAATAGTAACATAGTTCTGATTGTAACATGGTCTCAAAATAAACCACTTTTCTAAAAAAATACAAATAAGCCATATATTCATATCGGAAGTTTTTTTCATGTTCTTCACAAATATGATATAAAAACAACAGTCACCCATCAAAGTTTTGCAGAAAATTAGTCTATCTGTTCAATTGTTACAATTTGGATGGTTTACGAAAACACATACAAATGATGGATTTGATTCCACCAATTTTGCCTCAAATGATGTTGATGACCGATAAAAACCCAATTGATGTAATACCGTAGCGAAAAACCGGATGTTTTTATCTAGTGAAGTTGCCAGCATCTATGAAACACAATTGACTGATTAGATATGCTGATGCGTATCTGAGGAGTATTGAGTGGTACAAAATATGACGCTGTCATTGCCCATCACAAGCTATTAAATAATAATGGGATAACAAGGACACAATACATACATACTCTTCGCGATTTTATTTTGTGGATAGCTACACATTCTACAGTATGATTACGATCAATAACCGTTCTTTTTTTATTGCAATTTCGCGATTTTGCTTATTTGAGTTAATATTTCATGGCTGAAAATCAATTGTTAAATTATTACGATCAGTCAATTATTCAAAGGAATCGAACAAACAAAATCAATTATTTTATTTATTTTATATATCTTTTACTTTTTCTAATAACCCAATCCATTAATTGAACATGTGTGTAAGGTATGAGTGTGAATTTTACACTGGAAATCAATAAATTCAAATATATCCCAATCGCACCATATCAACAACCACACCTTTCATGCGCTTGTTAAATTTGTCACGCGATTTATCTGAGATGAAATTATTGTAATGATCCGCATTACCACTGTTCGCAATACTATTTGCTACTTCGTCTAAGTCTAGTACGTTTCCTTTTTCTGCCGTTATCACTGGAAGTACGCTTGTTGCGAAAATTAGGCCAATTTTGCCAAATTTACGTAAATGCTCCTGCATCACGTCATAAGAAAATAATTTGTCCGGGTCAGAACCCAATCTGAAATCAGTAAATCAACATGTTTATTCGTCTAACAAATTATGAAATAACAGTGAACAAAAAACAACCGCCTACCTACGAATATGTGCCGATAAATTGTCGTGATAAATGTTCAAGAATTCATCATAATGGGCATCGCGTAGTTCTTTTGTGGTGCAACTGAATATAAAATAAGCAATATCAATGATTGGCGTTGAATGCCTTGATATTTGCCAATCTAGAAAGCTAATTTCGATCGGTTTACCCTGATCGTCATATCTGTACATGCTGTTATTTTGCCAAGCATCTCCATACGAAATTACTGAACCATTTTCGGCAGATTTTGGATTGAGGCAATTAGCGGCGATGTCAATTGCATCGGTTTTGAAGAGATCCTTCATTCTAGATAACAAATCGGTATCCTCTTCATGTCTTAAAATGTCCAATACATGTTCGGTTTGTTTACGGAAGTAATCTCTGAAGACGGAATTATCAGTGCGTATGCACTCCTTTAAATTCGAAGCAAGTGCTTGAAATTTTTCTGGTTGTTGATCATTTAAGGCAAACGAAAGTGCGTGTAACTTGCCCAACGCTTTCATGAACAAACGAACATGATCCGCTGTCACTTCTTCGGTAAAACGATCTATGATAGAGAAACCTCGAATATTTAGGTCTTCAAGTAACAGACATTCACTTGGGTCTTCATCGAGTGTTCGATAACAGATGGGATATTCGGTGAAGCCGTTTTCCTTGTTGATTACACCTTTGGACAGCTCAAATTGACGGAAATACGACAATACCTGTGCATAATCATCACTTTGTTAACACTCAACCAATGTTTTTATTTCAATCAATATACACACAAAATACGAACTCATACATTAGTATGGGCCACATATATTCACTCGGACAAATAGTGAATGTGTACTAACTCTATATAGCAAACGATTCTCACTACACTTCTGTGTATGAATGTATGAGTTCATATTATTATGTATGTAGTACGCAATGGCCAATAGATTGTTTTGTATGCGCTTACCTCATTGTACATAAAAATTTCTTGCAAAAACCGTTCACGCAAATGAAATTGTGTTCGACGCGTTTCATTTTGAGGAGCAACCTTGACAATCATACTCGACTTTGTATTATTTTCAGATTCGTCTACTGCATTAAATGATACGCGATAAACGACACCCACAAAATTATTTTCGCCCTCTTTCGATGCCGCGGTTACAGTCACTCTATAATTTTGCGATTGTAGTTGGTTCTCAATAGTTTCGCGAATCTCTTTGCGAACTTGTCCACCGGGAATTCCCGACAAATCCATGGTTTTCACTTACTTCGTCAGTAGTTTTTAAACTGAACCGTGCACTTGTACAGACAAGAGAAGACTATTTTTTAAAAAAACATCTGTTGGAGGCAACAGAGCAGACACACATGCACAGCTAATTAGATACTGAAAAACCGGTTGGAGTTTCGAATGCAAAAAGAAAGAAGAGTGAAAAATTGTGACGTTACCGCCAATTATTGTGAAATAACATTTGTGAATAACAACGTACTAAATATTTGTTTTGATTTTTGATTTCAAAGAAATTCCGTTTATTTTGGTAATGCATTGTAAGTGTGGATTGTTAGAACTGATGAAAGTCACAAGGGAATCACCAATGAACGTAATTGACGTTAATCATAAATTTGTTTTATTCGTTGTGTAGTTTTTTGCGGATTAGTGTCACAGTAAAAAAAGGGTACCATGGATTTTTTCAAAGCTTTTTTTTTGCTGAGTAACGATATCAAAGTATTTTAATACAACTATGTGATTTAACTTGGTGACAACCACATCTTTCATGCGTTTCACGAATTTTTTGCGCGAGTTTTCTGGGAAAAACGCCTCAAATCCTTCCACATCATCGTTGGTTTCTCTGCCCTTCTCGAATTTTTCTGCAAAATCATCTAGATCTAGTTTAGCTCCCTGGTCTGATGTTATCATTGGAAGTATTGCGGCCGTATTAACTAAACCATATTTTGCAAACTTGCGGAAATGCTCCTGCATCATCGCATGACTGAATAGTGCATCTGGATCTGAACCCAATCTGAAATCGTTCCAATTAACCCTCTAATGCATTAATTTTTCCCAGGACTGGAAGTACTGGTACTTGGTTGATTTTTGGCCATAGATATTTTAAAAAATATTCATAACCCTGCATTCCTCATGGTTTAGTCAGGAAATGCGTTTGACATAAATCAGAGAACAATCGAATCCATTGTTTAAAAGTGTCAAAAATGTGTCTAATTTCGAGTTCGAATAATTTATTTTGTCAAATTTTTGTTTTTGCACACATTCTTGTTTATAACAAGTGATACATAAAAATTAAGCAATAAAATTTTGTGGTTTCGATTTTTGAACAAAAAATTTTAGTCTTCAAATCAATTTGATGTGAATCAAAATTCTTTGTTTTTATTCAGAAAAACCAAAGTGCTAGGGGCGAGACACGTGGAATAGGAATAGCCATTTAGCTCGAAAATAGTGAAATAGCGGTGGAATAGTAATTTGACTAATCCACACATAAGCGAAACACTGCATGGAATAGCGGGAATAGTGATTTGACTAATCCGTACATAAGCGAAACACTGCATGGAATAGTGGGAATAGTGGGAATTGCGGAAAGTCGGTTTTGCAGGATTCCAGTTCTAGAGTAAAAAAAAAACTTCTAGAAATTTAGTTTTTATCATCATTTATTGTTACGGATCACTGTCTGATAATCATAAAAAAAATCGTATACTACTGGTTTCGCTGAAGGCATTTCAAACTTAGCCTAAAACTAGGCAAAACAAATATAGAAGTCAGTTGCAAACATTCTGGTCGACAACACAGTTTTAAATTTTGCAATTTGACATTTCGTTTGACGGAATAGTGGAATAGCGGGAATAGCGTTTTTAGTATAGTGGAATAGTGGGAATAGTATGTGTCTCGCCCCTAGCCAAAGTGTCTTCACCGAAAATACAACCTGCTGAAATGTGTTTATAG